CCATTGATATTAAGGTTAATATTAATCATCTGCAAGCATTACCAAGTCAAATGGTGGAAGATGTGGTTAACCTTGACCAAGTCGAGTCCTTTTCAGTAAAAGTTAATGAACATTAATTCCATATTTTTCGCAATTTCTTCATCGTGGTTCTGATAATAAACCCCTCTACACAATTATGAAAACGTATCTCTACTGTTGTCATTATATAATGACATACGTGTAAACACACAACAATTTCATATTCACAAATATGCTTTTTTTCCTCAGTATAAAGGAAAACATAAAGATTCTGCAAGTATTATTGTATTAAATGATGGACTATCTACATAGCTGACAGTGTTGTGATAAAACAAGGCTCCTCCTCATAACGACCTGGGTAAGAGCTTAAAAGTAAAAGCAGTGAAAGTACCCTGCAAACAGCCACAGAGTGCATTTTGTCGACTTTCTTTATCATGACATACTTGCAGACAGCGACTACCTTTTCTCAGATCACTATTTTGTCTCAGAGAGATCTTCTCAGAGTGCATTCTGTAGACTTTCGTAACCATGAGGCACGTCCAGACTGCATTTTCCCCCCCCTTCCCATTATGCATTTTATCACTTTGGGTTTTAAGACGCTGCCTCAGTCAAGTTTTCTTTGCAAAGCAGCAATGTTTAAATAAAGCTCGGTACGACTGCTGCAATTTCTGTCTGGAACTTGTGATTGCGTCGAGTCTGAACACTTAATGAATGCATGAACAAACTCCTAATAGCTCCTGAGGAACAGGACTCATCAGTTCAGATTGACTCAAACAGGGCCAGTGATTCATGTTAATATTTGATGCGTTCTCTACAACAGGATGTATAATTTAATATGGATCGCTGTGTCTTGCTCTGCTGGCAGTGCAGATAATGCTTACCGATGAGTCATCGCTTCTGGTTGCAGCGCCGTCCCCATCACAGTCTATTCATATCGCGCACTAATAATGAAATGTCATGTATGAACGCACAAAGAATTCTTTTCCAAGGTAACAAGCCTTTTTTTTTTTTTGTTCTTTTCGCTTTTCAGTTCTCCAGCGTCTGTCAGCTGTCCTTGATTGTGAGCGTTGGCCTTTATTTCCCCTCACGCTGCCACAGAGTTTACAGCTCCGGAGTGTGTGTTCGTCAACTCAGCGTGCGGATGTTTTGCTCGCATTCGTTTTTTTTTTTTTTTTTTAAAGCTCAATTAAAATTTTTCAACTTGGGTGAAAGCAGCAAATATTGTGCCGTGATGTGACAAGAGGTTTAAATCACAACTACGCTTCACTATCTGGCGGGAAACTATCGGGATTATCGAGGATCAGACGGGAGGATTTGAAGGTATCCACTGGCAGAAATGGAATATAGAGTTCACAATCACGTTTTCTTGAGTGTATTTTTACCTTTAGCTTAGCATTAGACCCTTATCTACATACTTACACAGGGAGGGGATCCCATGTGTCTACCTGGATGATCGTTTTCATTACTCGGTCCATTAATTAATTAGTTATTTGGTGTTTAAAATGTCAGAAAATGGTGAGCATACAATCAAACTTTATAGTTTTATTGCGCATTCTGTGAAAATAAAGGCTTTTTAGTTCTATTTCAAATGTCTTATTTTGTTGAAAACACAAAGATGTTCAAGTTATTCTCACGGAGGAGGAAAGAAACCAGAAAACACTTAAACTTAAGAGGCTGAAATCAGAGAATTTTGACAGCTGACGACACGCTGAATCATTGCAGCTCTACAGTAGCTCACAAGGGACAAACGGTGCGCCTCTAGAGGGCGTCTTTCTTGGTTGCATCCACCAAAGGTTCTCCTACATGCTTTGAAAAGGGACGAGTATTCCTTTGGCTGCAGTCCTACAGCTAGATGCCACTAAATGCGACACACTGGTGCTTGAAGACAATCTCCAGCAGCAGCAAAATGCACAACAAGAACTCAAGTTATAAGTAAATGGTCTGCACTTCTATAGCACGTTCATCCAAAGCGCTTTACAATGTGTCTCATTCACCCAGTCACACACACATTCAGAGCTGCCATGCAAGGTGCTGCCTGCCATTGGGAGCAACTTCAGGTTCACTGTCTTGCCCAAGGACACTTCAACCGGGGGATCGAACCGCCAACCTTGCGATTGGAGGACAATCCGCTTTGCCACCTGAGCCACAGACGCCCATCACATCTCTGGTCATTAATTAAACCCCTAAGCTATCAAAACTACATATTTAGAGTTTGTCATGGTAAATAAACCAATGCATCAAAATAGCTCAGATTTAACTCAACACTATGGCTTCCACTACAAATATACAGACCTATGAAGTGTCCACCTCAGCCTGAGCACACCAGCTCACCAACAACTCTGCTGAAATATTGTAAAATTAGTCTTAGAAACTTATTTCAGCCATACACGTCTGAACTAGTCATCAGCACACTGTAGTTTCTGTTTATTTCGCTCATGATAGCAAAACAAAAAACATCATAAGGACGTGTTAAAGTTAAACAAGCGACATGATTTCATACACACAATTTGAAGTTTAGTCGATTTAAATCCAACAATGTACGTCAAAAAGGCACCGTAGAGGACAGCAGTATTCATCACTACTCGATGATAATATGCTTGGTTTATCAGACATGCCTGGCTAAAACTAATGAAGTCTAACACAGCAAACCTGCAATAAATTCAACATGTACAAAGGTGGTTTTGTTTAAAACTGTTCAATGAGGTGTTCGGTTTCCACCAGTTGATGCAGAGTCAAGTGTTTGAAAAATGTCTCAGCAACAATAGTCTAGAGTGTATTTAACTAAAACCGAATTTCTACCAGAGGAAGTCTTTAAAGACGGAGTTTGGGAATCTGAAGACGTGCCAGATCTATCGGTCCTCTGGAGCAAACTTCCTGGAATAACGTTGTCTGGCTCAGTCCCATCAGCTTCCTTTGTTTTGCCACGAGGATGTGTGTGAACGACAGAACCTCAGCTTAGAATCGCTGACTTTACCTTTACAACATTAGCATTTAATTAACAGCTCCTCAGGTGTGCTGCGTTTGTCCCACGTCAAACAAATTGCATATATTTGAAGATTCTGATCCTGCAAACAGACAAAATGCCAATTTTTTTTTGTTGTTGTTGTACCTGTCAGAAAGTCTACTGTCAAAGTTCTATTCTCAACTCTGACGCTGCTGCCAGAAAAAAAAAAATAAAAAGTTTAAAAAAGCATAACTTTAGACATCCACAATGAGCTTTTTTCTTTCTTGGGAGCAATCATTTTCAATCATTTTCCCCAACAAACATCTCAGCTTAGTTTAATATATTTTCCCTATTTTCCTCTCCGCTAGCCGAGTGTGTGGAGTTTACAGATTGTTCCTACAACCGTCTACAAAGTGCACAGGAGATGTGATCATGAATAAAACAGGCAGGAAAAGAACCATGATTTCCCATTAGAAAAGCTCAAAAGTCCCACGATGTAAAACTCAGCGGAGAGCGCAGGACTCCTCACATGTATTACGCATGTAGTGAATGAAATCACATTTATATCAGATGCAGATATGTACCCAACATGTTTGTTTAGAGGAGATATTCCAGTTTAACATCACTTTGAATACCATGAGTGCATAATTAAGTTCGTGTGGGCCCCGTTGGAAATAGAACCTGTCACCATGATTTACATGCATTCAGGAACAAGGTTAGCAAGAGAAATTAGATTAGGAAGGGAAATCAGACAACATATATGGGTTCATTCAGCCAGTTAGAGCGACCCGGTGGTTTGTTTAACACCAGGTTACGAGAATTAAGCTACTTTGCTACCTGGTCAGCATCAAAATGGTGAAAATGTGACGGTACTTATTTGCTATGGTGGCCCGGCTATAACAGGTGGCCTACTGGGGGTTGTGATTTCTCCAGAACGGTGTCGGCAAGCGGAGCAACAGAGCTGCGGGGACTCGTGGAGTAAGCCACCTTGAAATTCATCCATCGAGGTATTTTCAGTCACAACAAGTTGTCGACAACCAAAAGTCTGAATGCAAGTGGAGTCACATTTGGATGGAACATCGGAAAAACTCATCTAAACAGCTCAAAGACAAACATCCACACCTGTACAAGGAATTTAACATATGAGTCTCAGTCAGAGATGTCCTGATCGAGTTTTTTCTGAGTCATTTCGTATTTAGCATCCACCAACACCCAACACCATTCATTTTAGATAATTAACACTAAAGTATTGTAGATTAGCTGTACTACTACTAATAGTGTAGACACCAGAGGAGGCAGGCAGGCTCCGTATTGTAGCCTCATGACAAAGTCTTTTGTGACGCTTAATGACCTTGGGTCAGTGCACATGAAGTCGGGATCAACTAGAATGAGTCTCTTGGCTCTCATATGACATTTGCAATCCGCATCATGTGTTCGTGGCTTAAAATAGCAAACAAAGTGCAGGACAGATGTCTAGTGTGTTCAACTTGCATTAATGAATCATCAATTAGTGATTGATAAGGCTACGTTTTTTAAGAAAATTGTACTACGATGTGACATCAGACATAAACAAAGAATTAGGCTCAGGTTTGTGCCGACTAGTTGTTGATTTACACAAACAAGATGTCGTTGTGAAAGCTCCATCACAAGTTTTTTTTAGAAATTAAAGAGCTGATGTTGAAATACTTGCATTTTTTTGGCAGATTTCTTGCTTTGAGTATCAAAACTGGCAGTGAGAATCCTAGAGTTTCAGTGGCATTGGTACCAATGACCAAACAGCAATCCAGTTACCCAGTGTTTAGAATGCATGTCTAATGTATCGTGTATACTGTAAAACTGCAATAGGTAGTAGGGTCCAGTAGGTTTAATCAGTGTCTCAAGGTAAAGATGTCATTTAAGGATCACATTAGTGTCCAAGTTGTAATCTCAGGTGCAACCCTTTGTTTTGTTGTGTCGAACATTCTCTATTATCTGCAAGGCCTTTCCACTAAGCGCCCTGCTAACTGTCCTTCCAGTTAACTGCTGCGTAACGGATTACCTGTCGCTGAAGACGGCCGAGTGTCCGAAGCGGTTGACGTCGTGGTAGAGGTCCGGCCGAGGCAGCACCGTCCACTCGTCACAAGCTGCCATGAGGGAGAAGACAGACAGAAAGGTCAAACTGTTGATCTGCACCTACACATTAAATCATACATGTCTTTATAGCGACAGCAAATTCAGCTGACATTCCCTGGGTGGTTAGCGAGACCTTTAACAGCTCATCTCCTCGTGTCAATCGAGTCGGTTGGCAGAGCGACCTTGACCAAGACACCGGAGGCCTGACCGCTGGAGCGGCGACTGTTGCAGCACAAAAATGCAGTCTGGCATGAGTGTAATGTCCTAAACATATTAATTCTGTGTATATGGTGTCATTCATTTTGTTTTTTAGGACTGTTTGATAGCTGATTGTGAAAACCTGAGCAGCAGGGAAATGTCGTGAGAAACGTATTAATGCAATAAAATCAGTGTTGTTACCGTCAATCAAAAGGTAGCCCCTCCCCTAAAACAAACCCTACTTTATTGTCTATTTTACTTTGAAAAGGGCCAAAATTTACTAAAAATCATCATCCGGCATTGAGGGAGACTTGAAACTGGTGATTGAGATGATAAACTCTTAGGAAACTGTTTGCTGAGGTAACACGTTGAGTAAGAAGGTGTCATTTTCTTTTCGACTTCTATGCAGTCTGACTTGTTTTTGCAGGTACATTAGTCGCCCCCTGCTGGACGGTAGAAAGAGTGCAGGCTCAAATCTCATCCCAGACCCTGAGGCTACATCCATCTTTTAAATACAGTCTATGGATAAGACATCTACACACACGGGGCATTACAATTACTATATTTCAACGTGACTATAAACAAAATCTGACAGCAGCAACAACAACAACAACAAAACTGTGAGCTTGAGAGTCAAAGCTCCAGGAATACAGAGCAGCGACTGCAGCACATCACATCCACTCTCCACTACAATGCAGTGCAAGTCATCATGGTGGTGTCCCCGTAAAGCTCCGCTATCGCAGGTAGACAGTGCCCTCTGGTGGCATGAGGCGGCGCTGCAGGCGGCGAGGTGCGTCGCCCCCTCAGAGTGTGGATTTATTACAACACCATCTACCAATGTCAGGACAGCGGATGGCCCTTAAATTCTATGCTCTAATTGAGTTCAGCTTGTTAAGGAGGGGCAATTAGTTCTCAACGCGTGGCCCATCTCGACTGTAATTACCAGACAATTACCAGAGCTGCTGCTGCTGACACCGACCCTGCAGCTGGCTAAGAGGAGGAGGGGGGTGGTAATATAGTCGACTCTGGACAGTCCCTTCTGTCCAATTACAAAATCATACAGAGGATGAGGAGTGGCGGGGAGGAGACAGAGGTCAGAGCTGAGGGGGGACAAAAACTTGGAAGTTTGTAATTTTTAAAGTTTTACTTGATTGCCAACTCTCAGGGGAAATCCTGGTTTGTTTTCGAGGTGACCGACATGAGAGTCTCATTATGCCAATCAAAGGAGGGCACGTGGAGATAGAAACATACTGTTTGTTAATGCAAATATCTAAACAGGAAATCACATGGCAACAACCTCAGTGAGGCATGTTGACATGGTCAAGACGTCCTGCTGAGGTTGAAACGAAGCATCAGAAAAGGGAAAGGAGGAGGATTTTGGCGACTCTGACCATGGCCTCGTTGTTGGTGCCAGACGGGAACTGTTCTAGTGGGATTTTCACACACAACCATCTCCAGGGTTTATAGAAGATGGTCAGAAAAACAGAAAATATCCAGTAAGAGGCACTTCTATGGGTGAAAATGCCTCGTTGATGCCAGAAGAGAATGGCCAGAGTGGTTCAAGAGAAGACCATCTCTGGACGCAAAACGCATCGAAACTGGAAGCAGATGTTCCACAGCAGCAGAAGACCACATTGGGTGCCAGGTCTGTCGGCTGAAAACAGGAAACCGAGGCTACAATTCACCAAAATTGGACTTTGATTGGAAAAACTGATAAGTCTTTATTTCTGCGGCGACATGCAAAGCCGCATTTTGGTTTTAAAAAAGGAGGGTCCAAGAACTTTAAGGCAGCATTTAGATGGATTTGCATTAAAAATATGGTGGTCAAAGGCACTAAAACTACGACAATACAATACAATTAAATCTTTGTTCAGAATTGTTTGTGTGGCAATTGATTGTCAACTACAATTGTCATGACTGTGACAGCCGTAGCCACAACATCGTTTCTTCAGCGGTCAGAATGTGGTGTAAACAAGATGGATCCAGTCTGCCTGGTATCAACGGTTCAGGCTGGTGGCAGCTGACGAATGTTGATATCTCTGAGGAATGTTTCCAGCACCTTGTTGAATCCAAAGAATTGATGCAGCCAACCCGCTGCTAGCGAGGTGGACCCAGTAAAGCTGGACGTACGAGGCACACTTTGCAAAGACTGTGACGCCTCCATATGTGTTCTTCCTAATCCCCACAAAGGGGGACGTTTGTTGGGAATGTGTCGCAATTCTAATGAACAAAAGCCGGTTGCAGAAGCGACGGGAGGGGCTGCGTGCGCCACTGAGATTCTAATTTCGCTGCTTGTCAATCATCTCGGTAATGACACAGAAAAAGCCGAATGTCCCGGGGCCACTCGGCAGCCTCCAGGGAAGCCTCCCTCCCATCCAGAGAGACCGAAGCCTCCCATTAATGAGCAGCTTATGACAGCGCTGCGGAAGGAGGCAGACTCAATTTACAACAGTGTTTACAGGCGGCACAAACAAAACGAGGATGCCGGGATGGTTTCTGACAAAAGCTGTGCTAGCTTCTATTAGAGGAGAACTTTTAAATGGGATTAGAATGCCCAAAAAAAAAAAAAAAAGTCAGTGGCGCTTTGATCTTTATATGTAAATAGAGACAGAGAGCTTATTTTCTATACTACACTCCGCTTAAGGGTTAAGTATCTCGAACAAGGGCACCTTTAGCAGCGAATGGGAAGATCACAAGAATAAACACAAGAATAAACATGAGAGACTTTTGAGATTATGTCCCCGAAGCCACCAGTGTGAATCCCACACTGACTAGTTCGCTGCTTACATTAGTAAGCTGCGATCACTTTGTTTTTTTACCTTCACACAGAAATCCCCGTGGAGTCGCGCCAGCAGCAGCTTAAGGGGATGTTCTACGATATCTGACCTGCTACTTTTCACCCCTAAAGCCTCGACTTTTCCTTTACGGTGCTAATGTGAGTAAGACGCACAAATCAGACGAGCTAATTAAAGATGCTGCGTCGTATTTAATGCCGCATGTCGCTTGCAGTTTGAAGATTTTGGGATCTTTTTGGGACGGTGGACTGTCAGATCATCAAATATTCAGGATTCTTGCATATCTGAGCGAAGCAGATGGACACCTAAACATTTAAGAGTTACTGGAGACGTACAGACTCAATCAAATCCAGTTTAATTCAGGACAAAACAGCACATTTGCTTAAGTGCTTCCCTTATATACCAACACAAATCAATAAAGCAGCTGCCAAATTAGTCACACGCTAGCTGGTTTTAGAAAGAGTTTCCACAACACTATCCAGAAACTTAGATATAATCTAATGCTGTAACACCCAACCCTCTGCTTGTTTCAGATTCAGGAATCTGGATACATAGGTTTGCACTTATTTAGCGACAAGTAAGTCTGTCATAATTACTATAAAATCGCCAGATTGCAAATATTTGAGCCTACTGTGTAATCCTTTTGAGTTGCCTGTATACAAACAGCTAAATGAAAATAACACAAATGATATGTTTGCTACACTTGCTGTGTATCTGACTTGCAATAATCAGCATTGGCCCTGAAAAACTCTATGGGGTGAACAAGCAAAACTCCAACGCTCAACTCAGTGAGCTTTTTATAATGAAACAAAGCTGCAGTTTATCATTCGTGCACGTTGAGTCGAGACATTTGCAATGACAGTGTCGACAACAAAATGCTGCACTTGTACCGAGCAGCTCTCAGGTGTGAGTCTGCGCGAATGCATGGTTAAAAAAAAGCTGACGCATGTTAGATATTGTGTCTGTATGTGTTACTGACCCAGACTGTAGGCCAAGAAGTCTGAGGAGAAGCACTTGGCACCGTGGCTCATGGATGTGTCGTTGTGCGTGTTTCCCCCAAACACCAGCATCGTGCCGCTGACGATCACGGCCGTGTGGAGGTAACGGAAGAAGCCGCTGTCTCTCAGGATGGTCCTGCAAAGCCACAGAGGACGTTATACAGGGGGACGTCACACATCCTGCTGCTGCATTAACTATTGTTTTAACAAAACAGACAATAAAACTTCTTATTGTTTATCTGTTGTATATCTGTTCATTTGTATTTACACACTTCTCTCTTCTTGAGACCCCTCATGTTAGCAGAAGTTTTAGTGTTGTTTACAAATTGTACGGGCGACCTTATAAGTGCAGGACGTGTTTGCAGTCATTTTTCTTTATTTTTACCATCATCAGTCAGGGAAACACACTGCAGCATGATTACTGATTACCTCTACAGCAGTACATATATAAAGGTATGGCACCAGTGAGTGTCTGTCAAGTTGCTTCAGTGCATTTAGTTTGTGCAGCATAAATTAAATATTACTAAGTCAGTTCAGCACCTAAGTAAGTTTGACATGTCATTTTTCAGCACTGTGCTTTACAAACTTCTAAAACAGTATTTAAACTTGCAAGCGACTGAAATTTCAATTGCTTCGTATGTGGAGAAAAAAAAACAAAGCTGGTCAATGCAGAGTAGGAAAAGTAAAAGAACTGCTTTTCAATGAATATAGTATTTACTTCAGTGTAACATCAGGCTGCATATATTTCTATTTACGATGACAGGAAATGCCCAGTAAATAGCATTTAGGTTTTACAAAGTAATTTAAAGTATTAACTCACTGATACATAGTAAGATGTAGTTGTTGTTTCACTGTTATTTGATTCTAAATGATGCTTCAGCAAAGAGAACCCAGTGGGTATAATGCGTTGCTCCTTAAACATGATGATTATAGCATTTTGTGTGCAAACTGGCACCTTACTGAGACATCCCAATTACAAAATACTGTAATAACGCTGTATTGCACAAGCAAAAAGGCACCTCACAGCATGCCACACTGGTAAACTGCAGCGTGCAGCCAATCTGCAGCATGTGTGTCAACAGTGCTGTAGATATAAATGTGGAGCAAAACAGAGTCTCACCATTTTCTCCTGTCCACGTCAAACTTGTAGAGGTCTCCTGCCAGACCGTACTTGTTGGCGCTGAAGGCCTTGTAGCCTCCGTGGATGTAGATGGCTCTGGTGCCGGGATCGAAGACGCTGCTGTGGCCGTAGCCGCCCTGAACCAGCGCTCCGTCTGTCTGAATGACGTTCCACGTGTTCTTCACTGGAGGGTCAAAAAACAGGGTTTTACTGAACAGTAGAAAACTGGCTCCGAGTGATTAGAATGTAATGAAATAACACAAAAATTGAGTGATTTTGTGGGCTATTCATTTGTCAGCAGTGGAGATTATTACTGCAGGACGTCGCTCAGTTTACACGGTTTTATAAATGATCGAGACTTGGTGTAATTGTTCCTAAAATTCATTACAAGTGCAAAAGTGGCATCAGGCTGCCATCACATTTTATTGGTGGTCATCCAGGTAATGATAATGCCCAAATCACTTTCCCCACTTTGTGAGCAAATAGGAGACGCGCTCTTGTCCATCGGCCACAGTGGCAGCTTAATTCATCCCATTAGCTCAGACAGATTGCCTCTTAGAAGACAATGAGACCCTCTAATGAAGTTTGCTGCCAACAAGGTTGGCGGATGAGGCGAACACACCACCCGAGTCCAAAAACTTGTTATCCTCAACTTGGAGGGATTTATTTTCTCCCTCCAAAGTCTCCGTACAACTTACCGATATTGTACTCCTGCACCTGGCTGATGTATCCGTACAGAGGACAGTGTCCGAACAGAACCAGCATGACGGGATTCTGCCCGTCCAGGACCGGAGGCACGATGTGGGCCGAGTGTCCCACCACGGCGTACTGCTCCTTGGCCCGCGGGCTCAGAAGGACCCAGGTCTGGTTCTGGATGTGAAAAACCCACAACTGGCTCGACACGTTTCCCGTGGAGTCGATCTTCCCTCCGTACATGTACATTTTGCCCTGGAAGAGACAAACAGTGGATCAGAATTTAATCATAACAATCAAAAGTCGAATTCAGAACTACAGAAATACGAAGTCCAGTGATGTTTCCTTCAGTTTTTTTTCAAGCAAACAGCGTTACGGCCTTATTGAAAAGTGACATAATTTAGTCAGGGGAGAATGCAGAGTGTGCATAACAGACGTAACAAACACCAACCAGCCAATAAAACTGCTGACAGGTGATGAGTAGAAACTGATCATCTCGTTTCAATGCAATTATTTGCTGTGAATCCTTAGATCTTTAGGATTATCAAATCCAATATTCTGCATTTTGCCAACTGATTCCCAATTAAATAAATAACCTTTAAAATCTGCTACTTTGGCAGTGATGCAGGCTGTAGTCACCAAAATAGTAAAAACCTATCAACAATGAAGGACAAATGTTAAAAAAACTTTTTTTTAATTACACATATTTAACTCATATATAAACAAAGGAATATCGGTGCTGATCTCTTTGATTACTCACTAATTGCTTGAAGTAACCCGTGTGTGCACTGAACCTGGGGAAATTATTTCCATTTTTTAACGTTGTTTGTGTTCTTGTTAATTAATGCCCTATTTATCTTCTTTGTACTTTGCACAACACTGAAAATGAGGGCATGCACTCAATGATTCCTGGAGATTCACATAAAGGTTGAATGAATAATAATTCGGTATCAGATTTAGCCTTGAACATAAAAAAAACACGTCGGTCAACTCCTTCTCCTGGCATTCTTGTGGATGTTACTTTGGCAGGTATCATCCAACTAAACATTGTTCCAGACAGAGTACAACCCCCCACAGCAACAGCATCCTTCCCCAATGAAACCTGGCCAAAATGCAAATAAACTGCTCCAAAACGGCACTGACTCTGCCT